CATCAAAGTTCATTACAACTGGCCCTTCAGGGCCACCATAACGCTCATGTGGCCCTCAGAGAAAATGAGTTTGACCCCCCTGTTCTAGGTGTTAAATCTTAAAGTGAAGTGAAAGTATCATTTTTAGGTTTTTAATGTGACAAAATAAGAGTAAAAGATACAATAAAAATACTTTGTAGTATTACAAATCCTCAAAAAATTACTTGGGTACTGTAACTAAGTAAATGTACTTTTTTTGGCCACTTACCAAGACAATAGGCAGCCATCAGAAACCCTGCTGAGCCCGCCAAAACCTGGAAATCTTGTGTCTTGGTTTTGTGAACAATCAAGCCGATCCGTGTAATCTGTGGGAAGATGTATAAAGGAAACAGACAAAAAAAAAAAAAAACTGAAGTCTTTCATCACCAACCCTCCTACCTGCTGCCAGAGCTAAGATCTGTCAGAAGYTTTTAGTCCCAGGAGAGGCTCTCAGCAGAGAATAAAACTAAACATTTAACAGAGTAAACAAGTCGCTCAGTATGATACAAGCATCATCTTCCTGTTTTACTGGGGTTCTCAGAGGACAGGATCACTGAAGATCCAAAACAGAAAAGGGAGGAGACAAAAAGGGAAAAGTCGCATGGGAGYTTTAAAGGAAGGAACTGACTTCAAAAGATGAGCAGAAGAGAGACAGCAAGAATGGAAAAGGCTCATGAATATCAACTCTTAAAAGCTCCTTATTTTGTTTTGCCTGATTAAATAATCTTTTGTCAATCCAGGACATCGTTACTTAGAATCCAAATAAACCTGAAATTATCACAAAGACCACAATGAAATTCTAAAGCTAAAAGGTCCTCAGGAAAAACCCACAGCCTGGTTTGAACCTCCGTCAGTGTTACCATGGAGGGTCACTCAGTTTCCTCATATTAGTCATTTTAAACATGCAGAACTGTAATTGATCAATCAGTCAGTCAGCTTATAGGYGCTCCTGCTGGTTTCCTGAAAGCTAAAGCACTCAGACTGTGTACACAGATCCTTAATAGAAAAAAATAACCTTGCAGTAAGACAACTGTCTCCCTGTCAGGAACACTGATTAGTCTTTATTTTTTTAAGTAGCAGAATGCAGAAAAACTAACTCCTAACTTTATGAAAAACATATTACCTAAATGACAAAGTGATCACACACCCATTCTGTTTTTTGTTTGATTTTTTTTACTGAAAAGCCTAAAAATGTGTCATAAAGTTAAACACTATTACCTAATTTTCTAGTTAAGAGTCTCAGCCATGTTGATCTTAACAAAACCAATCAAAGCGTCTAGGCTTTTTTTGATTTTTGAAGATGTTTTGCTTCACATTTAAGTAACTACTCAATCTAAAGATTGGCAATATAAAACATGATATTTTTAATTAATTGTGAATTGTTTTATTTTGGGCCCAAACGCAGTGGCATAGCGGAAGGCCCTATTATTTCTGACCTGATTATTATTATTTTTTATGCCAACTGAAGGCTTTTTTCACTATGTTCTAATGGGCTGACACACAATGGTAAGATCTGTTTTACGGCTCATGTTTCTCAGATTTGTCTCATTAAAGTCTCAAATTCATCTCATGTTGTTCTCTTTAATTCTCCTTCAAAATAACCGAGACATGATTGAGACCAGAGGCATACACTTATGAGATCTCTTCTGTTTATCCCATTTCTCAAGTATTGCTCAAACGGTTATCTCAACTCAACCTCAGTGATGTCTCGTCTCAGCTTAACTCTTGCTCCTAAAGGCAGCGTCACACCACAAGAAAATCAGGCCGATTTTTGTCCTTTCAACAATCTTAAGGAAGTCAAGATTATGGTGATGGCTCTAAAGATAATCTGAGCAGATATTCCCACCATGGGTGGTGAGTTAAGAGTGATCTAGTCGGCTCAGAAGGACGTCGGGACCACTCCGACCTCAAATCGGGGATATTCAACATGTTAGATGTTTTGGCCTGATATCACAGTGTGTGTAGTGTTCACCTGAGCTCTCAGCCTGTTGAATGAGACGTGTAGCCAATCAGAAAGAGAGGTGACGTAAACAAAACCTGTCATAACTCAGCAGAAAGTCTGCTGGATGTTAAAACTCCTGGAATTGTTTTTCCTCTGGTAAAAATAGTCCACAGATGATCAACATTGTTTCTTCCTCTGACATCTGAATTATCACGAGATTTCAGGAAGTCTCACGTGATTTAATGACACCTGAATGTTCATGAACGAAATATCTTTTTGTGTGTTGTCTCTTGCTGTGTGGCTGTACACCAGGACCAAACCTGGTAGATCCATGATTTTTTTTATCCTCACGTGTGAGCTGTATCAGTCTTTGAAAATCGGCCAACTGTTTTAAAATATTGTAGTGTGACTCAGCCTTAAGGGACCGTTAGGAGCAATAACTCAAACAAATGATCACACAATGATCTGAATATGAGAAAGCTCAAACCGATCTCCTAAGACGAGATTGAACCACAGATGAGCGAGACAGTATTTGCTGTGGGTGAACAGCCACGMGAGATCACACCGCTGTCGTGCTCACGAAACAAGAGCTGAAAGCTCACAAAGCAACTTTGTCTTGACTTCCTGTGGGAGCAAGTCTTCTTTTGGAACTGGGATCCAGTTTGGGCCTTTCTTTCGACAGCATGATGCGGAACTAGCTGACGCTGAAAGGGTAACATGTGCTGGATGATAACTACTGAGTGGATGAATCTAAATGGATTTTTTTGTACCGACTGTTGATCTTCCTGAATACCTGGACAGGTGACATCATCGTCAAAGGTAGAAGCTGGCTTTGTTACTAAGCGCTCAGGATGGGAGACTGTGATGAAGTGATTCAACACAATCTGCTGCTTTCTTCTTTACATTGTTCTTTTTATCTACAGTGTCCTGAGACAATGTGTGTTGGGACTTGGAGCTGTATAAATAAACTGAACTGAATTGAATTGAATTGTTCTGGCCGACACAGAGGAAGAGATGTTCTTCTGGTTCCTCACATTCTTTAAAGATAAGGTTATAAGATAGGAACTAACTAAAATCTTACTTTCCTCCTTTTCTTAAATCCCTGCCTTGCCAACTCTAAGTTATTTGCCTCAATTGTTGGGTATTCAAGACCCAAGCTTYACATTTGCTGTCAATTTTAGGTGCTGAATTGATGAATAATTAAGTTCGGACACGATCTGGATTGTTATTGATTCTTAAAACTTTTCATAGGAAATTGATTGCTCAAAAATAAGTGTACTGTAGTGATTTTGTTTGATTGTATAAAAAAATGATCACATTTATTAATTGATCAATCAAAAATTCACTGAGCCACATCACTTTTTGTGTTTTGTCCATTCACTTTTACACGAAGGAGATATTTACCAAAAATAAAAAGACCCCTTGCTAAAAAGAATTTCCTTATAAATGTGTTAAAAGAGGAGTAGAAATCCTACACATTAATGATTTGTGACTGATCATTAGTGTGGCTGCATGTGTATGTGATTTAAAAAAATACTTCATTGGCTGCTTTCAAAATCTTTGTAGTCATCSGGGTTAAAACAAAACTACTTACATCTCCTCCACTGTCTTTGAGGCCCAAAATGTTTGGGTGGTGAGAAAGCTCCAACACAGTGTCCAGTGGTAGCTCCAGTCCTGTGTTAGCTGGAACACTGTACAGAACCACTGGCACCGGGCTGCTGTCAGCCACCTGCAGGGTTGGACAGAGGAGATACCTTTTAGAAAATGTACATGTTCAGATCTCAAAAACTTCAGACTTGGTCTTTGCTCTGAGTTAATTTTCTTGTTACAATTTTTACAGCTTTAAAATCCTTCCCTAATATTTCTGTGGATAATTTGTTTGATATCCAATATTAAAATCTCATTTAATCTTTATTTATCTTAGATTTATAATGTCAGATAATCTAAGTATTTCTCCACTCCATTTAACCATTTGAAGTCTTTATTATTTTTGTCTTTAAAGTTTTATTACAAAAACTTAGTAACTTATAAAGGACAATATTGAGTACTCCTTTTATATGGGCGGGTTCACMGTTATATCAAACAAATTCATACTTTAGTGCAGGGGTGCCCAACCAGTCGATGGCGATCGGCCGGTAGCTCGTTAGCTGGTTCCCAGTAGCTCACGGAGCACAAGCTTCCTGTAACAGTTGCGCTCCGGCCCGGGACTCATGTCCACTCGCTGAGCTCTCCGGCAGAAGCGGTGGAGGTGGGAGGCGGGAGGAGTTTACATTCCAGCATTGAACACGCTCCCTCCACCCTCCCCAGCTCCGCTCACAGACGTAGTCTGGTGAGTTTTGGGTTTGGTGAAACAGCACTCCGAACACGGTCTCACCAGACGTTAGGGTCACGTGTTCACAACAAACCAGGATGGATGGATGTGTCCATGTTTCAGTCTGGACTGCTCCGGTGTTGAAAATGAGGTTTTGACTCTGCAAAATGACATTGGGATCAAATCCAGAGCAACAAGTCACATGGATGGAGAGTTCTGGAGTCAGCTTTGTCTCATGAAAATCATCAAGTTCAAGAACAGATCCACAAAGACTGGTGATCATCTGGAGACCTGCTGACACCTCATACTGCCCACCTATGAGACCCTGGCCTCCTCTCAGTGTCAGAAGTCCCACTAAGGTAGACACACATTTATTTTTTATAAAGCTTCTTACATAAAAAGTTGTCTCCTCTAGACTTGTCACAATGTGTCTGTTTGTTGTTTTTTTTATTACATTTTAGACCAGACTAGTATCTTATACACTGACTGGAACCTTTGTGTTATTTATTTTGCAGTTTGGGTGTGCCCTTGTTTTCCATACCTAGCGTGGCTGTGTGTGTGTCTTGT